TTTTTTCTTCTTCTTTTTTCTTTTGTTGGTTTTTCCTTTTCCTCCTTTTTATTTTAATTTTAATTTCTTTTTTTGAATTTCACAGCTTTAAACAAACATTGGAAATCCATTGAAAGTGTCCAAATTGCAACCTGGTGTTGTTTTAATAGGAACCAACGTTTTTTCGATATGAAGTGTGTCTGAGATCTGTACTGATGTGCGTGCCTGTGCGCATGTGTACATAAAACAAACATAGACTCACAGACTGTGTGTGTGTGTGCGTGTGAGGGCGAGTGTGCGTTGTGTGTAAAATTTTATAAATGTATGTACATGTAAATTTATAGGTCTATATAAATATATATGTACAATTATACATGTTTAATTATGTGTGTGCCTAGGTGTACATACCTATGTATGTATACGGTAAATATGTATACATACACACATAGGAAAGCATGTTTAGAATGGAGATGAATAAATGAGAGCGTGCAATATTAGTGATTCTTTGGTCCTTTGGAGCCATACCCAATGGCACAGGCACTATGAATGTGTGAGCAGCACCCAACAAGACAAGCTCTTCTCCTTGTACAAACAGCATCAGCCTTTTCTTCTGCTACAGTACACGTCTATCCCCAAAAGAGAGTGAACTGACTGGAGGTGCAAAAACCTTGTTTGGCCTGGGAGGATGATTAAATGACATTTTTATTTTCTTTAAATAAAGAGGCACATTAGAGGACTTTGCTTTATTTCCATCTTGGTGTCTAGTTGTGTCCAGATTTCTTATCACTGAGGGGGTTGTTGTTTATTTTGTTGTTTTTTTTTTTTTGGTGGATGCTGCAGTGGAGTTAATATGTACTGTACACAGATACATGTGGGTGAGTAGTGTTCAGGTACATTCAGTATCTTTACTGTGTTTCAGCAGACCAAATGATACGGGGTTTTTGAGCCAGACACCGATTTTTAAAGGGGAATCATTCACAGGTTACCAATATGGTGGCCGATATAGTGACTAATGATGATAATGTTATTTAAATAGCAACCTTTCAACAACAACAAAACATAAATAAAGCAATGAGCCCCAGAACTTAAAATACAAGCAAGATAAAATAAGTTAATAGATTACAGCAAATGAAATTAATGTAAGAAAAAGCCAAACGATAAAAGAAGAGATACTAATTTACCTTTGGTGGCTAGTCGAGACCTTGGACCTATTAGGGTTGTTAGAAACAGATGTAGGCAACAGCCAGACTAGTCGAGGCCCTAAAAACAAGCAGTAAAATCTTAAAATCAATTCTAAAACTCGCAGGAAACCAGTGAAAGGTAGTGAACTTTGCATTATATACTGGGAAAAAACATATTTTTGTCTGCAGCCAATAAATCTCTAATAGTTTTGGTATAAATGCAGGCCTTTCTCACAGCAGCACAGGTGTTACTAATAAAGTTAAAGTTGTCTTCGGTCTACCAGGACAAACTGAAGCAGCTAACTAATTCAGCCATTGTTAATTTTATTGTTTAAACCTGTTTCGGTGTGAGATATCTTTATATTTGAGATATCCTGATGTGTTCAGTTCAGTTCAGATTATTCTAAAGGACCCTCGCAGCCTCACAGGTGTTCAGGACTTCCGCTCGGGTTGAAGGTGCTGAGGATTGCTGAGGTCCCGGGACTCCTTTTATATTGAATAGTACGATGAAACGCTAACAGGAAAGTCGGGGGAATGTCAGTCAAAGAGGTCTAATGAAGAAAATAACTTTAAAAAGTGTGGGTCTGCAGTGTGTGTGATTAAAAACAGATCAGGGATTATATTTTAAGATTTATTATTTTAATCCTAATACAGTGGACATAACGTTACACCTCATTGAGTTAACTTAAATGTATCTTTTACTGATGTTCCAGATTAAAGGGTTAGATCTAATGTAATCATTAAAGAATGAGCAGTATGATAAATGTAATTTTATATATGTGTCATCATGGTATAGTGCAGTTATAAAAAATAATTGAGAGGATTTTCTGTCTTGAACTGAAACAATTATTTAATTAATAAGTAATAAGAAAATTATTTGGTGTCAATTTGAAAAATCAGTGAATAGTTCCTCAAAGTTTCTGTTTTTTATATAATGCTTTCAGACTTGGTTAAACAAATTAAGACATTTGAAGATGTCAAATTATTATTGAAAATACTTTCTACAGATTATCTGATATTGAAAATAGTTATTAGTTGCAGCCATATTCTTAAATAATCTAGTTATTTAAATATCTGACAAATCAAAGTACTTTGTTATATTGATGGAAAAATCATATAAAGATCCAATATTGCTGCTTATTGATCTGCAGCGTTGCTAAATATGACCTAGATATTACATTACTATTACTTTTACATTATCCAACCCTAAAATGAACAGAAGGAATAAAGGGATTTTTAAACTTTAAGTGTGAACTGTATCAGGAAGATTATATAACATTTGTTTTACTTCTTTTATGCTACTTTTTTTATTTGATGACAAGATTTAGCATCCATCACATTCATTTATTTTGATTACCACGACGTTGTGTCCATCTCTTCTAGTATTTCATCCTCAGAGCGACACAGCTTCAGGCCTCCAGCTTTAAACCATAAAGCTAAATAACCTCTAGAAAACAGACCTTAAGATTCTGATTTATTATGTACAGTTCGTCAGAAACATTTGAACAATTTTGGCAAAAACCCTCACAAACATTTGGCACAGCAAGTCAGCAACAAATATATTCAGATATGCATCATTTTTAAAAACAATGAGGAACCCCTGATGGATTATCAGACATCAACGGCGGGAAACAAACAAAGTGTTCAGAGAGTGAGACGATCAGTGTGTTTTTACATCAGATCACATAAACCACCACCTGACTGTACCACCTTAAACCAGACTGGTTGGTATTTACATATGCACGTGTTTGACTGGTCTCACTTGATGCCACATGTGTGCACTTTCTAATAATTCAGTCGGGAACAGGACACGGTTGTGAAGTCAAAAACCTTCCTGATGCAATAAGCTCCACCCGCCCGGCACTCCCGAGGAAACATCAGCGATGATTTGTAACAACAATTTGGCCCCCGGATCTGCTTTGTCATCGCAGGCTAAAAACCACATCATCATCATCAGCAATGATAAAGTCCTTTAAAGACATTTAAAATATATATTCACGTCCTTCACAAACAAATCGAGGTTGTATGAACAGATGTTTTTCCAGAAGAGAGTAGGGAGGACGTCTCGAGTGTTTTTTTTTAACCAGCTCTACTTCATGGCTCTGTCCTGGGACGCGGTGCACTCTGGGTAATGTAGTTCACAGAGACTTGTGCTTCCCCAGCAGGAAGAGGCTGAGGCACTGCAGCAGGCCTTTCATCCACATACAGTGAGCCAGGAACAGCAGCAGCAGGCAGGCGCCGGCCGAGCAGTAGACACCGATGACCGTGCTCTCCTCCGGCAGGAAACACTTGGATAGAGTGTAACTGCTGGGTGACACCGACGCCTGGGGGGAGGGACGGGTTGGGGCAGAGAAAACAGGAGAATGAAGAGGTGATAATCAGTGTTAATATTGGAGGAGGTGGCTGCTTGGCCCCTCAGCCACCAGGGGGCCTCCAAAAATAGAAAATGTGAACTCTTATTTGGTTCCTTTCTGCATATTTTAGACACAATCCTTTAAAGGAGCTATTTGAAACAAACAAGGTCCATTTAGTAGCTGATCTATAGCTTCCAGTTATATTTCATGTAGATATTCATACTACAATATGGACAAGGAGTCCTTAAACAGTTTGAACAAAAGTCCATGACGATCTAATCTGCTGCTGATGATCATGTGATACGGACGAAAGCTCCAGAACAGCTACTGAATGGACCTTGTAATCGCAAAGAGTTAAAAGACCAGCGTGTAGGCTTTGGTGGCATCCAGCGGTAAAGCTGCAGATTATATTTATATAATAACGCTCCCTTCCAACGTGTATGAATCTTCATTCATTCTTTAAATAAATAATTCAACAGCATTCATTTCTTGTAATATTCTGGTTCAATATCAGCCTGCTATGTAGTCACGTTAATGCATGTAGCACACAAATATATATATCCATTATTAGTTACGAGTTAAAATGTGATGGTAAGAAAGTAAGCAGAGGTAAAATTAATGGTGCAAAAACACTGAAATCGTGGCTTCAAACAGGAACTACTGGGAGGAGAAGTGTGGACCACAAGTGCCACTTTTACACCGAATTAGCTCTGGTTCTTGAACCGAATCTGTTCAAAAATAAATAATCTTCTTTTTGGAATAAACCTGCTGGGGTTTTCTGAGGTCGTACGTGGTGTAAAAAGTTTGAGAAACGTGTAGGAGACACTACAGTGGCCTCAAACAATTCACAAAACACAACAATTCTTATTTTAAGGTGATTATACACAAATAGAAACATAACCATGAATATTATATAAAATTTCTGCCAATAAATGTTAAATACTGGACTTATAAGTAAATTAATATGTAAATATCATATAAATTTACTAACTTTGAAAGTCACTTTGAAAGTCACTTTAAAGTCAGCATGGACGAGAGGAGTTTATCAATAATAATAATGTTTAGCTACTTTACGTACTGCTGCTAAAATTAATGTAGTGGAGTAAAAAGTAGAATATTTGTCTTTGTGGAGTAGCAAAGTAGAATAAAATGGAATTACTCGAGTACAAGAGCCTCAAAATTGTAATAGTACTAGTACTAAATGTACTTAGTTACTTTACACCTCTAGTAAAACTGTGTTGAGCTGAAACTGGCTTTAAAGAGAGATTCAGGTGATAATAATTCGTTCTCCTTATGAATACATTTTATAATAAATATTGATTATAGCTGCTCCATCAATCACTCGCCATCCTCTGTGGCAGGATGATGTTTCTCACTCACCAGGATGAAGCTCGGGTTGTTTCTGTTCCTCCAGCTGAAGGACGGCACGCTGATTTCTGGGTACTTGTTGTCATGGAGAACCTCACATCCGCTGTGGGTGTGTCCGCTCAGGATGAGGCGGGGCTTAAACCACTGCAGCAGCTGGGGAGAGAAAACCCACATCTACCCTCAGAGACAGGTTGCTGCTTGCTTACATCATCAGTTTCATCATCATCATCATCATCATCTGCCGTTTTCTATCCAGGGACTATTTCTGACAGCAGGCGGGTTTGTACTGTATTTTAATTGGATGAAGCCGCTTCAGAAGAGATCTGTGCTCTGGAGAGAGAGAGAGAAACAGCCAGCAGAGGCGGTGTGATCAGACTGCAGAGCACTCACCCTCTGTGAGGCCTCCTTCGACAACACGTCATACTTCTCTCTGAACAGCAGGTGTCGCTCTTCAGGCGGTGCAGCGTCCAGGCCTGTGCAGCCGGCGTCGCTCACTCTGTACAGAGGATAGTGCTGGAGGACAGAGGGGGAAACATGATTATCACCTCTTATGTTTTGCAATTTTTATATTTCAAATAAAAGTACAGAAAGATCGACTGGTGTTTGAATGCAGCAGAGATCCTGGGATAGTTCAGTTTAAATGTTACAACAACAAACATGCTGCAGAGAAACTGTTTTTTTTGTGTTAAAACAATTAATCAAATAATAAATTAGGCGATCGACTGTCAACAGTCAATCTGAGAGGCGGGTTACTGTCTCAGTCATTCATCAAGCACAGATTTGTTGGTTTAAACCTATCAAATGTGAAGATTTCCTGCTTTTTTCTGCTTCAAATAAAAGTAATTTGATGACATTATTTTTGGGCTCTGAGCTTACACTTCAATATTTTCAGACATTTTAAATAACCGATAGATTATTCAGCTATGAAAATAATTAGAAGAACTGACCAGTTGTTAATTAAAACAAACAAACAACTAACAATCAGCCATTTTTTCTTTGTCTTTCTGCAACAAACTTTATTTATATATATATATATATTTATATATATTTAAACCCAAGACCTAATAATCCCAATAATCAGGAAAATGTAAAGTATTACAAGCAGCTTAAAAGATGCCCCTTTTTACTGTTTTACTGTTAGTATAATCTACTCTATTATTATTAGATCAATGTTACTGATACATTAAAGTCACTGTGAATCCGACTACAACACTAGATGCCACTAAATCCACTGGACCTTTAAGTAAATTAATATATAGATATCTTTTAAACTGAAAACTTTGAAGAACTTTAAAGTCAGTATGGACGAGAGGAGTTTATCAATAATCTTTTAGTGTGAGTTTGTGAGTATTGTATTAAGACTTAATGAAATCTGAACGTATAAAGGAGGTACATTTACCCCCCAGGGATACTTTGGAGTACTAAAAGAAAATATGATGCATAATTCCTGAAATAATGAATTACATGAGTTCAATAAACAATGTAAATGTAAGTTTAATAAACCACATTTTATATTCAATATTCCTACTTTCAATACACTCGTTAACTGATGTAAACTCTGAACTGCAGTCGCCTTCCAGCCTCAGAGAATGACGGAGATCCTCAGTGAAGCTCTCCCACTAGATTATCGGTGAAACTTACCAAAAAGACGGCGTTCAATCCAACTAGGATGCCGCTGTGTTGATGCATAATGACAAAAAACTGGTTTTCCATCAATTTTTGGATTCTAAACATTTGAAATGAAGCATTTAAGTGTTTTTCCCCTCTTTTTTTTCTCCTATAAATGTTGCTGCTTTAATTCTCTGATGAAGAGCGAGTGGAGTGGAAACAGAGTTTACACAGAGTGCAGTTTACCTGTAACATGATGGGGGGTGTGGGAGGATAGAGCTGCGAGCCCTCACAGCTGTTAGTCACCGCGCTGCCCGACTGCGAGTTCTGCAGAAGAGACGACATAAAGAATTCATCTGCTGTCTCGTCCACAAGCTCACAGCGCATCCAATATCAACATCAGCCAATGTTTTTATTTTCCATCACTCCCCTCTTTCTTCTGGCAAACAGCTGCCACTTTTAATCTGCTTTTACAAACGCTGCATTTGTAAAAAGAACAGAACACCTGCACAGGGTGCGACTGAGCTTTAGATGTAAGTGTATTGTTCTTCTTCCTCACTTGACTTGAGTCTTTCACACTTCGTGAGCAGCAGCAGAGTGTGTTGGAGGTGCTGACAGTGTGAAAAGTGTGCTACCGAGGTTCCAGAGACTTCTTCCCACCTGAAGAGAGCAGTTGAGGTCTCTGGAGAGTTTGATCAGCTCCTTTTCCACCGACTGGCAGATGGGACACCCGTCACCGTGCAGGGCCACGCTGTTCACCAGCAGGAAACTGAAAGCGAGAGGGAAGAAAGTCTCAGAAACTCTGGCACGAAACACAGGAGAGCTGCAGCGAGACTGCAGAGATACATCATCATGTCCTGTTTTTATTCTGGGTGCTTTTTGTGAAAGTTGGTTCGATCTTTAAAGAGATCTTGCGCAGAGAAAAAGTTAAGCTGCACTGACCTCTTTTGGGTTTAAAGGTACCGTGATAACACAGGTCTGTACTTAACACCACAACCACCAGTGATGGAGCTACATCACTGCAGTAAACACATGAAAAAAGGTTTATTTAGGTTTGTCTGTTCTCACGGTTCAACATGGCGGCCTGAAGAAGAGAACCCGCTCCCTCTGTAGATAACAGCTCATTCTAAGGTCAGAAAAACATAACGATTCTTATATTCAGGTGATTGTAAACTAATAAAAACACACCAATAAATATTATATTACATTTCTGCCAATAGATTAAATATCCTAAATATTACACACTGGACCTTTAAAGGGATGAAATAAAGGCTGTAATACATCGTCTATAATGAATAAAAGATTTAATAATAGAAAGATTTTACCAGGTGTGTCTTTGTTCTTTTTTTCTATATATTCTATATATAACAAGCTATTTCATTTTCTAGTTGTCATGCCAACAGTATTCTCAATAGAAAAGACCTCTCCAACAATCAAATAATTTCTGTCTATATTGGAGACGTCAAACCTTATTTCCTTAAATAAAGTGAAGAAATTATTGTTTCTGTTTTTCTTACTTTCTTTTCTTTTATAAATAAACAAACGTAAGAGTCTTCAAACAAAAAAAAAATGAATTAGACAGATCATTGTGCCAGAGTCGATAAATATTGAAACTTTGCTTTTTGAAACTAGTCATTTTGGAAGCGAACATAAAATATTCCAACAGAGATTTGAGGAATAATCAGGACTTAATGACAAACTTTAAGGACTTTCAGGCCATAAAAAAACAAACACAAGTAACTTGATAAGTGGGAGATTTCTGCAGCGTTTGCTGTATGTGGATCCATGCTGATGTCAAATATGGCGTGTTCATCAGCACCCGGTGTGAAAGTAGGGATGCTATTTGTGTCATTTGTGCCTATCTGCAGATATTTAAGATCTCTGGAACAGTTCCCTGCCTTGTCATCTTGTTTAAAAGCAGACAGACTCAGGGGGATTAAAACCTGTGACCTTCCAGCCGGCTGAGTCACATTCCTCATCCTGCATGTTGCACCTTCCTGTCACTCACTTGACTCCCTTTTTGGTGACGATCCTGGTGGAGGAAGCGTTGAAGACCTTCTCAAAGCGCTGCAGTTTGAACCAGTCCATCCTGCAAGGGAGGAGGGAGTGGGGGGGGAGACACAACAGGCTCGTCACACCGCAAACACAAAAAAGAAACCTACCGCTCAGTCTGTCACGTCTGTCTGTCATACGCTCATTACATAAGAGCTGTGCCACCTCGCTTCCTGCTGCACGAGTCAAATCTAAGCACACGTCTACATAATCCCACATTTCTGAATCACACGCATCAAATGTTCAGCTGCAGGATGGCTTAATGCATCTTGTTCTATTTGCTGTCACTGCTTCTTCTTTCTCCCCCCCCCCCTGAGAAATTAAGAACATCAGTTTCAAAGGAGAAGAGCATTAGATACAGGGGGGTGGACACAATAAACGCAACATCTCTGCAATCCAACGCAATCCAACACAACAAATTAGCATAAAGTTGAATTGAGACTTCATTTAAACATTAAGAGCTCTGCAGGGGAGAAGTGTGTGTCAGCGTGTACTTCTTTCCAGGTTTGTTGGCCAGTAATCAAACTTTAACTCAAAGGTTATGCAATGTAGACCGAGTTCTGATTGTTTGCTCTACAGTTTAATGGTCTGAAGCTCAAAGAGAGAAGAGTGCAGTGTTATTGTGACTGCAAGCCCTTTCACTGAACCCCTACACAACTTTTTAATCCGGAAACTAAAGGTTGGAAAATAAGAAACAATAAAGCATGGTGTGTCCTTACTCATAATGGAAACCGATGTCATGATTCCCAACCAGTACAACCAGTTCTGTGTCAGTGGAGTGTCTGAACATCCTGTGGAAGCGGCGCACGTCGTCCTCCCAGTGCTGCAGAGAGAATAAGAAACACAAGTGGAAGCAGGTTTCAGTACAGGCCCTTTAATAAGACACAAGCCCCCTGGGAAGCTCATGAGAGATAATGGGATCTCTGAGGGTCACCCAGCAGCCCCCCATGGGTGGCTGAGGCGGAGCCGCTTTTGATTCAGACTCCAGATTCAATTTTGAACCTGCAGGGGCCCGAAAGCTGCACACAAGAGGCCTTTAATTACATCAGTGCTGTGTGTGTTTACACAATGTTTTCTTATAATGATGCGTCCGTAAACGACTCCTTGATGCTTCTTTTAATTAGTGCCGAAACAGTTACTCAGCTGACAGAAGGATTCACTTACAATCATTACAATAATCGATTCATCTTCGAGGTCGTTCGTCAGGCGAATAAATACCAAATATCTGCAGGTTTTAGGTTCTAAAATGTGCTTATTTGCTTCTTTTTCTTGTATTATATCTGGACGGTTGGTCGATTAATTGTAATTGAGGTAATCAATGAATCATTAAAGTCAAGTATCAAGCAAAAATACTGAACATCTGCTGGTTTCAAGTACTAAAATATGAGGATTTGCTGTTTTTAAAGTTGGAATATTTAAAATATCTTTTAGTTTTGGACACATTTTTCATACAAAAGGAGGCGTGTGACGTGTAAGCCGTGTGATTAATCGATTAATCAATAAAATAACTGACAGATTAATCGACAGTGAACATAATCATTAGTCGCACTCATATTTCAGACAAAACAAGCAATGTCAAGACGTTAGAGTAACTTTTCACAGGCATTTTTCACCATTTTCTGACATTTAAAACCAACAAAAACAACTGATTCATAATCAAAACAATCTCTAGCTGCAGACACACTTTTTATATTTCCTAAGATCTTGAGTCCTTCCTCTTGCAAACAGCCCACATTATACAGATTACAGAAGCGATGCCTACCAGGTTGTTTAAAATAAGGAATGAGGACGCTGACAGGAGGAAGATGGTAGATTGGTGGAGGATTTTTTTACAGCTCTATTTCCTTTTAATGAGGCTTTTTCCTCTTCTCTTGCTCAACTCTTTGTCTTTCTTCTGTCTTGACTTGATGGATCCCATTTGAACAATCCAGTAACAGATGTACGAGAATTCCCAGAAAGAGGAAAAGCAGGATGAAGGAAAAGCAGCTGCTGTTCATTTGTTGTTGTTGTTATTATTATTGATGTTTTTCCTCTCCAAAAAAACCCCTGCAGCCTCTGGGGGGGTGGGGGGCTGAATGGTACAACATGATGAGGACCGGTCGGCCTCTGCTTTGCACATACTGTTCTCTCATTACCATCATCATCATCACAATAAGCACTGTGGGTTTGCAGACAAAGCCAGAAAAATAAAGAAGAAGCTCTACGTTACCTTCTGCGAGCTCCACTTGCCTTCGTCGAAGATGTCCCCGAGAATAAACACTATTTCGGGCCTGAGCAGCCACAGAGCGGTCTGGAAAGCTCTCTCCATCTGCCATTCCCTGTGCGTTTGGAGACAAGAGCAAGGAAGCGTTATTTCGGTTGTTTTTGTTTACACTCCTGCAAGAGGGAGAGAGACAGGAGCACACACGGACGGAGATGGTAGGAGGGAATAGAGATGCATTGCTTTTTTTAAAAATAAAAATAAAATGGCATTTTACCTCCTCAGCTTGTCAAACCAGTGTCCCCCGACGGCTCCGAGGAGGTGGGTGTCCGACAGAACCATAGCGCGGACCGCCGAGTCCATCGGCCGGCCGTCGATGCCCTCTCCGCCGCCCCGTGCATGGCTGATCTTCGGCCAGGCGCACTTGAGGATGGTGGGGAAGTAAATGAGATACTCGCAGAAAAAGAAAGCCCCGCCGACCAGGAGGATCAGCAGCACCGCGACCATCCATCTGACGCTAAACCTCGGCATTTCTTTGTTATTCGGCGTTTGGGATGCCCTGAACTGGCGCACTGACGGTGATGGAGCGGTCCATGAGGCATCTTCCCCTCTTCCAGACCCGATTGTTTAGGTCTCCAGCCGTGTGATGCTCATGGCAAGTTGCTCTGAGGCTGCGCCGGATAGGAAGAAAAAACAACACACACACACAGAGAAAGCTCAGTGTCCAATCCAGGTGATCCAAATAAAAAATGGGATAAAAGTTAAATATAAAAATGCTCCCTCTTGCTTTGTGGAGAGAGAGCCGAGAGAGCTGCAGCCTGTTTCACAATCTCAGCTCCTTATAGTCAAGCTGCGAGCGTTTCCACGGACTGTGGGGGGGTTTCATTTCAAAATAAAAGGGTAGACACAGTTTGGTAAAAATGATGTGCTTTGGAGGGAAAAAGATCACTAAAATGAAAATAAAAGCTAAACTGAGACGATTTTGTGCAGGAAAATGGAGTTTAAGATATATATTCAATGACATTTTGGGGGGATAAATTAAGTGAGAGAGTGTGTGTGTGGGAGACATGGGGTTGTGACTTTTTAAACCTTTAGTCAGTAACACATTTGAACAGAAATTAACAGGAAGACATGTGAAATTATATCAACATATGGATTAAATTGTGTGATGTATTTGCTGACATTAGCCTAAATTATTTATAAGAAGTTCTATTCTAATCACCCTACATGTTACAGATGGGAAAATTTCAATTAAACGTAACCTGATTACTTTTGGATTACCTCGACACAAAATATGTAAATAAAGACAAGAAAAATGTCAATAACAAGTATTGATGTAAGTTTATCCTATAAGACAACAGAACAATTAAACCTCTGAAAGGAAAATGGAAAGATTTTTAACATATATTTGAATTAAATGTAACTGTAATCTGATTGTGTGACTCAGTTACATGTAATTACTCCCCAAACCTGATAAAAATATTCAGGAAATGTCTTTAGTTTTAGTCTTTTTGGTCAAATCTGTCAACACAACAAGCACAAGGACTCACTGGTGCATTATATCTTTATTGAGACAAGTGACCCCATATTATAATGATTTAAATAAAACCTGAAACAAACATTAAAAAACAAATAAAAACGAACTAATGAAAGATAAGAAACTATAATAACCCAAGTACAGTTTTGTACTTCTTCTATCTTATTCTAATCTATAAACTAACTCCAGAAGTAAAATACCCCTTTTTTTCAAACTGAACTTTCAAATTAAAAGCATCAACTTCCGGTATTCTTCTGGCTAACTCGCGCGTGCTTGACTATAGGAATTTGCGTGTATGCGCGTGAGTGTGCGCACGGGGGCGAGGAGAGGTGGAGGTCAGGTTAAAACACTTGAACCAGAAGTTATTTAAAAACAAAAAGCCCAGTTATAAGTCTGTAAAGTTTATTGATTTAATATTTATATTGATAAATCATCTGATCAGCAGTGACACAACCTGGCTCCAGTCCACACAAACACTAACAGAGCTGGAAAGGAGCCAACCACTATGGGACAAATGAGATTAGGTGATTAAGAGCAGAAATCTAATCAGGAGGAGACTGCTTGTGTGTGCAGCTCTCTGTCAGCTCCTGAAACTGGAACCAGCGAAGAGCTTTTTGATTCAAAACTGCTCCAACAAAACTGTTCTAATCTCGGCCTCCGTGGATGCAAAGTTACCTGCTGAACCAGTCCGTCTGCATGTCTGCAAGCACACACTGTACACTGCACACACCTCTCTCACACACACACACAGACACAAATGTGTTCTGCTCACAAAATACAAAAGAAGAGGAGGAACTTTACTGGCGTGTCTTCACCCCTGACCCTGTGAAACATTTGCTCCAGCAGGCGTTCAGTGTGAGATTTGTGCAGAATAAGGAAGTTTACAGGAGTGGAAAGTGGAGCAAAGTAACAACAACAACAGCACAAAAGGGAAAACTGGTGCATGACAGTGTGATTAAAGGACGCAGGGAGGGTGGTGGCATCTCAGTTTTCAGACTTATGATCTGTTTGTGATCATGAATGAACATTTTTTTGGCCCTAGAAACCAAAAACAGGGCGGAGGCTCAAAGCTCTGCTCCCCCTCCAGATGTGCTGTCTGGCTTTTGCTCCACTTACATTCATTGCTTTGAGGACATAAAGAGTATGTTGTATGTTGTAAAACTGCCCTTTAAATGCATTACGGGGCAAAACAAAAGACCCAGTTTCACCACCACCCCGACTGAGTTTCAAGGATACCAATGAGTGCCCACACCGAGGAGTTGGAGCTACTCTCCTTTAAAGAAACACTATTCTCACTCTTTTATATTACAAATCATCTTTTTGTTCTCAGTCAGGGTTCTTGGCTGCTATTGTGGACACCGGGGTCGTGTCCTCTGTAGGTTTTCTGGGAATTTGAAGGAGTTTAGCGACCTTGGAGGAGCTTTTTGTTACAAAGAGATTTTTTTTTTTTGGCTTTTTGTATTCAGTATTTCATTCCTTGCAGAACGGAGAGAAGGGCTTTTAAAATAACCAATTACACCTTCGTGTCGGGGAAATAACAAGCTACAAGGTTGTGGGCTCTGTTTACAGTATCTGCCTCTCCACATGTACTCTTGTCATGCAGAGAGTCCACTAAAATAATTCCAGGGCCAAGATTTTAACAAAATACTGAGGTCACAAGTTAAAATCCTCTCAGTTAATTTGACAGTTAACTGTTTATTGTAAATGTAATTATATCCAATTATATGCATATAACATGTACTGTAGATGCAGGGCTACTGAGAAGGGCGACGCCTGCACACTGACTCCAATACTACGTTAATTAATAAGTACAGAGATAATAAATGCATCAAATATATGTAATAAATGTACATTTAGCTTGTTGTTTATAGCTCTCTGTACTTGCAATATTTGTGAATATTAAAGGGAAAATATGATGCATATATATTGTTTTTTGTCATGTACAATATTTTACATACGTTTTTAAATTTTTTTTTATATATATTTGATGATTTTTTTGGGATTAATATACTTCTAAATTAATTTTGTTGAGTGCGACTTGAATTGTTAATCACTTTGAGATGTTTATCATATATTTATTTAGCTGGTTGACCACCTAGAGCACCTCTGACTTTTGAAAATATTAACATAAGTTAAGATATAAACTTTATTAATCCTACACTGGGGGAAATTCACTTGTTACAGCAGCTCCAGATACAAAACAGCAGAATACAAACAGAATAAAAAAATACACATTAAATAACAAAATAAAATAGAAAAAATACAAGCTATCAAGAAAAGAAAAGAATTAGGGTTGTATGTACACTATATGCAATGTTTTTTACTTGATTTATTATCTCAAAATGATGATTTAGTATCACATATGTTCCAACTTCTAGAGTCAAACTGTATAATTTAGACATTTATTTATTTATTTTTATCATTCTTAATTCTTTATGTGGATTATGTGGCATTAATTGGGCTTCCATACATACTCTCCTCATTACAAACTCTAATAATTCTTTAATTTTCTTTTTAAAAAAATCAAATCTGTGTCTCATCGTGACTGTTTTTTATTTGTATCATCCCTCACTCTTCATCAAATGTATTTTTTTTCTGGCATTAATGGGCTTCCATATGTTTAACAGATTAAAGGATTTGGTCTTGTTGTTGGACTCACGTGACGCATTATAAAAAAAGAGTGGTCCAAATCTCTGCAGCCGCTCTCACACAGACTCAAAAGCTGTGAATGGGGCTCAACTGTAAGAGGTGAGCGTATGTAAAGTACGAGTTTAATGCAACACACAGCCAGAGACTACCTACTGCTTTGCATCTGTATGGGTGAATGTAGTCTTTAGTCCCCAAACACACTGGTTCCTAATTAAGACAAAAACATCTTTTAAACGGCTCATTAAATACTGTGTAAAGATTCATTTTTTTAAAAGCAGCTGGGCACTGTGGGCTTAAAAGGGAATAAATAGAGCATTTGTTGGGGACTATTTTCAACTGCGGATTAATACATATCTGGTGCTCCAGTACAGGGCTTTTCAAAGAGACTGTAGGCCTCACCTCGGACAAGGCTCGGAAAAAGGGTTCCCCTCTCACACTCCTTTAGTTCATTTGCTTAGTTTCTGGATGCCTCTCCCGATTATGTTATTTGATCCTATAGAAGCTTAACGTTTGAGTAAAGACAGATTAAAATTGCTGTTTGATGTAACTTCAGAAGACACAGAACACATAAAAAAGGTCTTTCCTAAGGAATTTATTAGGTGATGAGTCTGAGAAAAGTGGGAAAAACAGTAATATTTTCTCCCAAAACTGCTGTATTGTGATCTCCTTTTGGAAATTATGTAATATTTTTTCACTTCCTCCCCTGAAACAGTTCGGAGCCCCCCTAGGGAGGCCCGCCTCTGCTCTAGTATTCACAGCAGCAGTACGATATATGTGGGATCGACTCAAAATAAACTCCAGTTAATAAAGAAACCTGTCACCCAGAGTGTGGCTCATTGATGTGTTTTTAATAGTTATAACAGCGGAGCTCTGTGACACAGAGGAATAAGATACACCAGGATACATAAGAGATACTTGGATCAATTAATTGTTTGGTCTTTTCACTGGATGACAAAAAAAAAAAAGGAAGACGGCTTTGAATTTGAAACAGCATTTAGATCTTGTGCTACCAGCAAATATAATGAAACAGAGTCTAAAAATAATGGAACCAGTACAACTATAAAATATCCACAGAGTGGTTGTTTTTATTTGTAGGATGTGGGGGAGGATGTGTCCTTAATGGCCCCCTTTTCTTCTAAAAATCTGCAGATTCATTACCATAACAAACAAAGGCGATAAAGAGGACATTTCCATATGCGTCAGGTTTGCATAAGACAAAAGTCACCCCTTGGTTTGGCTTAAAGCGAGCCGGTTAATGTATGTGCTGGATCTCCGTGATACTGTATCCAACCAGGTTTGAGGTTAAATCCTTCGGACTGCCTCTGGACAGGCTCATTTAGAAGCTGTTGTTGTGCTGTGCAGATGTTATGAAAGAAAAATGTATCTGTAATCTCCCCACTAACGTTTAATCACAGGTGAATTTAAATGTGAGTGACTCAGCTCGCCTATCATTTGAAAGAATAAATTGTTTCCTTAGAAACGTGATAATGGATCTGAACTGAAGAACCTGCAGGTTTTTTACCTCTTTTTTTTCTGAGAGTTATTTTGAGCTTAAGCTGCATTCAAGAGCAGGTTATCTGTCCAGTTTGCATTTTCAGGCCTGAAAAACTGATCTTGTATCAGGATATTTATGTAAATTCAGTGGTTAAGTTTAAGGTTAAGTAAGATTCACAAAAGTAGCTCTAAAGTTGCATTTATTAGTCTAACAAAACGTATAAATCTGCAATAACTGGGCACCCTGGTAGCTCATCTGGTAGAGCTGGTGCCCCATGTCCTATGAGTCCTTGCTGCAGCAGCCATGTGTTCAACCTGTAGCCTTTTTATTAGTGTTTCTCTCACTTTTCTGTCACTTTACAGCTGTCGTTATCCATTAAAAAACAATAAAAGGCCTCAAAAACAATTAAAAAAACAAAACTAAAATCTGTACTAACAAGATTTTACATGTGTTTCCATGAATTATGAAAAAATAATGCATTAATTACAGGTTTAATACATCAGTGGACATCAAAATGGAGCTAATCTTTCCTCCTTTGTTGCCACTCTCATGTCTGTGAGGTAAATACGTAGCTCTATGCTCGTTAGCTTAGCTTACCATAAACACTGGACAGAGGGGGAAACACAACTAGTCTTCCTCAGTCGTAACAAAACGTAATAAAATCCACTTACCAGAACCTCCAAAGCTCACTAATTAAATGTTATTTCTAGTTTATTTATTATATTAAAAAAAACAAAGTGTAAAGATGACACGTTGCGGTTGTATGCCAAACAATTTCTTGGCCTGAACCAGTTGCCTGGCAACCAGTGGAGGTTACAAACAATAGAAGAGTGAATTGTCTTTTTTTATAATTTGATTTTGCTCCTGAAATGTTGAACTACTCCTTTAATTTGTAAAAAAAAAAAAACCCTCCATGACTTAACTTCAGTCAGTTTAATCTATGTTACAACAGGTCTCCATATGCACAGTTTTTCTCAACACCCAGGTTGAACCAGTTGCCTTTTCCTCCTTTATAGGCACTGGTGACTATTCTTGCCCAGCCATGTTCTCCCTGAAAACAAAAACAAAACAAATATTATTTAATCTGCAAGCAAGAAACCCAACATCAGTGAAACTTCTTGAAAATGCCAGCTGTTCTTCACAGAAACGTTTCTACTTAACAAGAGTGAATTCATGCCTTGGTACATTTAAAACTATAGAGCTGAGCAGAGCTGAGCAGGCAGGGTGTGGTGCAGACAAAGAGAGACCAACCCAAAACTCTCCCCAGGAGTTCCTGACGATCCAGTACTCGGTCCCGTCCTCCGCCACGCCCCAACCAGCCACAGACACGATGTGATTGGGCAAAGAGAGCGGGTGAAACTCTGAGAAGACTCCTCCAGAGTATCCCTCCAGGCCGTCGGTGGCCATCAGGGCACAGCTGAAAAACAGTAAATTTGTTCTTTCTTATGATTTTAATCTCTATAATGTGCAGTCAGATAATAGCAACTTTATTCCTATAGCCCAAGGTGCTTAACAAAACACTCTCAGATTAAATAAACAAATGTAAATTATTTATCCAATACCGGCGCCGCAACCTTGAGTATCTGTCGACACTGATACCAAGAGTCGACTCTCAAACTGTGAAACAAATATTCTTCTACTTCCATGAAGGAAGAAATACAAAGCCCAGTGTTTAGTTAAGCCTTTATGTAAAATTGTTTAGGCTAAAGCTTCTTATCAGGTTAAACTTCTCTCCTAATTTTTGGCCAGTATCGGATTGGCACAGTAAAAATATCCCTAATAAAAAGCAATGTCATTAAAAAAACAACAAATAAAATAAACACAAACAGTTTGATCAAAATACAATAAAACACAACCAGCAACGCCAACCCACATTAAAAGCCAAGTTACAAACAGAGGTCTTTCATTTCTTTATAAAACAGGGAGTTTGCTGTTCTAAGATCCGAGGGGACGGCTGGTCCACAGTTTGGGGCCATAAAAACAGAGAGCACCAGATTTCTTTTGGGACTCTTCTAAAAGAAAAGAAAAGGAAGATCTAAGAGTTTCTTATTGGGACTTAAAAGGCAAACGCAGATGTTCACAAAAGCAGTTTAACTCCCGAAGGATCTTCACCAGTGATATGAAGATATGTACCAATTTCACAGATTATTATTATTTTTTTTGTTCTACTCACAAACTTTTATGTTCGACACTAGAAAATAGAACGTTTCTCTGTGTGTTCAATGAAAATCTGATTTTAAGAGACGTACGAGGATGATTTAAAAAAAACACATCAAACTTTTTAAATTCTTAATTTCACAATCTCATTAACTCAAATTTAAGACCATAAATTTAAAATGTCCACTGATGAAAAAGGTTTTGAAAAGTTCGATCCAACACATCTGCAGGTATGTGAATAAAAGCACATTTAATACTTCATGGAATTAATTTAAAGACAATATAAAAGCCAGAACTTTACTTAAAGAATTAAAGCTAATGTAAGACATTAAACTATAAATGAAAACGAACATCAGTAAATTGTTAAATGATATAAAGTTGGGTTAATTAATAAAGTCTGTATGTAATATGATATAAAATCAATACTTTAAAGCTTTAAATTCATATAATTTACTGTATTTTAAAACGTATCTGAGTGAAATAAAAGTCCACTCGCTGCTGTTACGTCTCTCAAAGGTTTTTAGAATTATTAAATATGTATAAACTCATAAAAACTTCACTATGATTAAGAATCGCTCTGTGAAAAGTTTAGGCTCGATCTTATACTTCACGTGGAGGATGTAGGAGGACGGATAATAACAGATGACTGGGGAGGATGACTTACTCTACCTGATGGGCCCGTTGGTGTAAATTTCAGCTTTCATCTCGTCTCTCCCTGAAACTTCTCCGTAGTCGCCCACTTTCCACACCGTGTAGTTCTTCACAACAGCACACGACTGAAAGAAGGAACACGTGCCACACTGGTTGAACTGCTCACACTCTGAAAACAAGTGGAGAAGGTTATTTATAATTATTTACAGTGCAAAGTACACATTTCTTTACAATCTCCATGAAGTTAAAATGTCAAGTGTACTGTTACAGTGTAAAATAACCTTTAAGTTATGTGATGTTCAGTTTGAGACAAACTCCAACCTACAGTTTGTTTAAATTCCCCCAGCACACTGCAGCAACTGTTTACAATATAACAACACTTCTCAAGACTAAAATAGATACACATACACTATACGAAGAAAAATATGAGGACACCAAACCATTAAATCCACATGTGACTGTTCAACATCTCACTCCAAAACTTGTGGCTGTGAACAGTAACAACCTCCACTCTTCTAGGAGGACTTTCCACATGATTTTTGGAACCTGGCCGCAGGGATTTGCTCCCATTTAGCCACAAGAGCATTAGTGAGGTCAGCCACTAATGTTGGTTGATAAGAGCTGGCTCACGGTTGATGTTCCAGTTCGACGGGGGTTGAGGGGTCAGAGCTCTGGGCACCAGAACACAAACTTGGAAGCTCACTTTGGTCTAAAATAACGTTATATGACGTAGCATTAAAGATCCCCTCCAGACATGTATTAAGATTACAAATAGTCTGTCTGGAAGAATAATGTTTGTCTGATGTGTTTCTGAGTGAAGCTCAAACATCCAACTGTAGGAACAAGAAGAAACACACATCCTTGAGTGGAGAGATTCCTCTTATTGTGTGTCCACATACTTTTGGCCATTTAGTGTAAATTGTAACAGCAGACAGACTAAACATAACACATTGTTTATTTTCACTTTGGTTTTTGGCTTGGTAGTTGTTGCAGGTTTCGTCAGGAATGCCTCTCTTGTGTGCGTAGGCGTAGACTCTCAGATGGTCTCCTCCGTAACAAGAGCCCGCCCCGCCGCAGTCTATCACGTTCTGCACCGACAGGTAGGACGACGGCCACGCTCCTCCACGCTTGATGTTGATGCGGTCTTAGGAGGAAAAAAGAACAACAGATATGGGTGGATGCTGCTCTCCACTCTCAGTCCGCCCACACTAATGTGACACTGTGTAGTCAACATAACATCTGTATTATCTATTGTGTAATAAATCTATTTTAAATACACATAATTATGTGCATAGTGTACATATTTTACATCAAAGCTCATCCTTCCCTCCATCCATCCCTCTATCTCGCTTCCTCCTCCCTCCTCCATCCCGTTGCCATAGTTACCAGCTAGCGCACTGGTGGCTCCCATGGCCCAGCAGGACCCGCAGTACTGGGGGATGTGCTGGTTCCGTGTGACGCTCACATAGTTCTTCCCCGCGATGTTCCTCCAGTCCCAGGACAGAGGAAGATCGGACGCCTTCACATACTCGTGTGGGCGAGGTCGTGTCCTGAAGATGGGTAAAGAATTGAGGGGCTCGTATGTGGCTGTGAAGGTTATTATCATCAGGAGGCATCAGGACAGGCGTGCAGCGTATTGTCAGTGTTAAAAGTATAGTTATATGTCTCTTTTATGTTGGTTCTGTGATGTTTTTATGGGAACTAACGGATTGTAGCACTGTGCCAAAGACATATTTCCCCTCAGCGACCATAAAATGTACTCTTCTCTCTTAATAGTAATCACACTAAACACACAGTGCATCTGAGATATTATACAGACACACACAATAGCACAGTGTTCCAAGTGTCATTTCAGATTGAAAAAGCAAAAAATCAGCAAGTACAATTAATTTGATTCATTTGTTGTACGCTTAATTGTCAAATTTAGTACAATTGCAGGTAATCAGTCAGGACTTACTTTCTCGATTGAACTGGTATTTCTGCACTAATAATAATGAAGAAAAGGCATGAAAATCTGAATTTTGTGCCTCCATGAATTAATAAATCCAATAAAAATCCCTTATGAGACCCCTACTTTTTAATATTTTTATGAAGCAGTCCTGATGATTGTTAAAAGGAGAACTTGGGAACATTTCAGAGATATAAAGTGGACTGCAAGCATGTGCTTTTACTTGTATATAATAATAATATAGTAAAAGAAGAGAACAAAATAACAACATAATGAACCCAGAAACCAACATGTTACATCTTATAATCATGAGACACTGCACCAGAGTGAGTTTCTGGACTTAATACTATAAACCAACAACTATATGAGCCTGTGAAATACTTAAAACGGTATGTATATACCTGCAAACCCGCTGTAAGTAACCACAGATAACAGTTAAATAAAAGTAGGTCAATATAGTTCTTAAGGTTTACAGTTAAACAGATCTCTACTAACGTTGGTAGAAATAATAGAAACTCACCTGACAGAGTCCGGACTACCGTCTCTGAGAGGTTTGTAACAAGGCTCAGATAAAAGTCTGCAGGAGCTGATGTGAATTGAAAATGATGCCACGCAAAATAATAACAGCGGTGTTGTTGTTGTTGTTGTTGTTGAAGACGCCATTTTGGCTCTGCCCCGCTGTATGACGCACGCTCAGCGCGCCCCCTGTCGGCACCTGATACCATGACAACCAACCTGTAAACCGACGAACTCCCTAAAAAAAAAGTGATTTATTTTAATGGATATTTAATTTTATGTTCAGTAAAATAACAATAATAGTAGAGACACAAGTGATAAAACTGTATATTTAACACAGATAGTGAACTCTTTTGTGGTTTTGTTCATTTTGAGCAGATTATTTCCTGTGAATATTGATCAGAGATTGGTTTTATACATATTGTTTTTTAATTAATTAATTAATTTAACTAAAATCATATATACTTAATATGCTTTTTTTAAAATAAAGTCTGTGTTTTCTTTTTCCCTTACACTTTTGTTCTATTGTTCCATTAGCTCTTTGGTTGTTTTAACTTTTCTAATATTTTTTTATATTATATTTTTATTTTATATCAAAGCTTTGTTTGGGAGCCACTGACATAGGCTGTAAAATTTACTATTGCTTTTTAAAAAGTTGGATTTGTCAACCATCAATTAGCAAATTTATCTTAATAAGCTGCGTCACATCAGGCTTTGAATACACAGACATACTCGTAATATCAGTTCATTGTTGGTTTTTGTCTTTTTGTGATATTTGTTATAAGAAAAGTATAAATATAATATCCCCAATCTTGTCCTTTAAGAAAATTAATCCTAACAGTGAGTATAACATAATAATAATTAATATTTGTGAAATTAAGTGTATTCATTACCATATTATAAACATCTCCCTTGTCTTAAAAAAACAAAACAAAGGTGTTTACATATGTATGTAAGAAAAATGACACAACTCATTACACAATAAATTATTTTATATTTAATACAATAAAATATAGATAATAAATAAATGTTTCCCTCCTTTAGTTCAAACCACATCACTGATCTGTTGGGAGGATGTAAGAGTTGACGTTGGTGCACTGGGTGTACAATAAGACTAACTTAAGCCAGTATTGATCATATTATTTTATATAAACATGTTACGAAGAGTGAAAAGGGGGGAACATTCTGATGAAAAGCTGAATTGTGATCAGTGTCTAAATTAAAATGGGCGTTAGATCAGTGCAGAATTTGCCGACACAGCAGGAAAACTTTTAAATAAAGTGCTCAGTAACAATCAAATTACACCTAATGCAGGGTCTGATGATTGGTTAGGGTTTTCATGGGCAATATGCAGCTCTTAACAAGGTTATCATATCACAGGGTGGGGACTCAATCAAGGGTCTGTGTTTGTGAGGGGGAAGCACTACTGTTTGTGCTTTTAATGATTAAAACTAGAATCAGATTAGATGTGCATTAGGCACCTAATGAACCTTCAGCAGGAACATGAGATAAATCACTCAGCAGCTGTTATTTGTTGTGCGATTTGTCTTCAGATTGTGGTCCTTTCTCCTGATGCTGAGCAGCTCACGTAAAAAGCCATCAGAGGGAAATATTGTAGTTTTTATTTCTCTACGTTTATCTGACAGCGTTAGTTACTAATTATTCTACAAATTAAGATTTTTTACATATGAAGAGTTTATAAAATATGATGCTTTGTTCTAGATATCCAATACAAATAGAACTGTATTGTGTATTAATTAATATAGAAAAGAATCAGCTGATGAATCCATAATGAAAATAATAATTAGTTGCAGCCTTAAATTGAATTAAAAATTAGCTTACAACCAGCTAACAATAAAATGTTACATTAATAGATGAGTAATAACCCTCTAATGTTATAATGCACACTAATATAACAATTATAGGTTTTTACTTTTTATATTTTAAGTACATTTTTCTCATAATAGTACTTCAATGTTGGACTTTTACTCTTAATAGAGTATTTTTAGTCATGAGTGCTAAAGGGGGGCCGCAGCATCGACTAAAATCTGGCTTAATGAAACTTTTTACTGGGATTTA